ACTATGTGAAATACCTGGTTATGGGTTTAATTTGTAACATAATTCTTGAAAACCTGAGAGAGTCTCGCAGGCTTTCAGTACATCATGTCATTTTGCTAATATAAGTGTATAATTACTGCTTGGCTGAGCATCCAGTCATTAAACATTCCCAGTTTCCAGTTTCTGAATGTCTGAGCAGAGTGCTGGAAGGGGACGGCGGTTGACTCCAGCAGAAATCACCTAATACAAAGCAGACTTTAAGTCCATTCTACATTATTCATACGCATATGTGTCAGTTCATGTGTTCATGTCACTTCTGTCTAGGTGTTCATCATAGAGTAGTCCATCTATTGAGGTGTTTTGAAATAGCTCAGTGGAGGCATTTTGTCATTCAGTGCAGGTCCACAGAATCCGAAGCATGGGCCATGCCTTTTGTGATTAAATACGTATGAATAAATGACGCAGGGGAATGTCAAACACACAGTCAGACACACATAAACTCAAGCAACGGAGAGAATTGTTTCAATATAAAGACTTCAATCAGGACAAAGCAAAATAGAACAGCATAATATTATCTTTGGCCTCATGAGTTCAATTCATCAGACTGAACACAACAAACCGAAATAGAGCAGCCTGACAGACCTTGACATTTACAATTTCACTGACGTCTCCTGCATTCTTAGAGGTGTGACACTAATTACGAAGGAAATAATGAAGGGTGGAAAATCTTTAATAATTTTCATTAGGGCCTACAAAAAGAAGAGAGATGATAACAGACAGCAGCTTATTACAAAGGTATGTCATTTTCTGTGACACCTCCTGTGATAGATGCCAAACAACTATACAAATTAGAGTGGTCGGCTCCCCCTTTGCAGGGGATGCCTTGTTATCAAAATTGTTTGGTGATGCTATGGAGACCATGTGGAAAGAGGCATTAATGCTTTGGCAACACTGTGAAATGATTTAACCAGCCAAAGGCTCTGGGGGGGATGCATCCGCTAAACCGGCAGGAAAAATGTAATTACCGCACATAAATGCCTCTGGATATCCATGTGACTGAATAATCACATTCAAGCACACATGTGACATGGTCCAACACAAATACATTTGCATGATAATGTCTTGTTGACCAGTGTCGGAGACTACAGGGACACTCGCTCTGCTAATATTTGTGCAGGTAAAGAAGAAGTTGCTTCTTCGTCACTTGTAAAATATCAGAGGAATACATTTTGCATACGTGTACAGTAAATCTCACTCTTATGTCACTGCATACCTGTGATGTGCCTGAGCTTCTCCTGGAAGGCTGAATAAGGAAGTCAATGCTCCTGCAAGCGAGGGAGGGTACTTTGCACCGCATGTGCCGCTGGCATTTTCATGTTTGAGAGTGTACAGTGTTTTTATTTATGTTTGTAAACTGTGTGATCTTACTGTGTTAAAGGCCAAAATTTGAATTCAAACAAAAGGGACGACCCATTAAATGAATTTCACGCTGGACCAAACCATCCCTCCCAAATTAACTGGCAGGTGTTTCAATGCACAGACTAATCTGTTTTTAATGAAGTTATCAATGTTTTATGAAGTGTTGGTTCATTGTCATGAGGAATGTCTAGAAACACTTGAGCAGTACAAGCTTTTTAAAAATTCAAATCAGTTGTGATACACACAAATGCTTATTTATCAGCCATATTTTTCCAAAGTATGTGTGAATATGGTCATTCAGATTCAGATTCAGATTCAGATTCAGACAACTTTATTTATCCCAAGAAGGGCAATTTCTTTGCAGCTTACCAAGTCCATACACACACCTTAAAAACTCACAGGCAAAGTATAGTTAGAGGCAACAGATCAGCATACTTTAGCCAATACAAGGAACAACAAGCAGCAATAAGTAAAATAAATAAGAATAAAACACGTAAAATAGATTCAAAAAGTAACACATTATGTTACATTTTCTATATCAGATATGACTGAAATAAAAAAATAAAATTTGAATTTATAATTTAAAATGAGAACTGTTGGTGTTTAGTGGCCTGACGGCAAAAGGAATGAAGGACTTGGAGTAATTTATCTGATCGGCCCTTTAAATTGTGGTCACGGAAACTCACATGATGTGGACAACACTGGCAGGACTCACCTGAGACATGAAATCATGCAAAAATTCAAATGCACAACAGAGGTAGTAATCTTGGTTAACCTGGTGGCCACTTTACACAAAGAAACTGTAAATTTTCCGTTCACATAGCTGCTTCAGATTTACACACTCAGTGTGCAACATATAGGCTATGCATATCTTGGGAGCAATGCAGAGATATGGTTCACTTAGTGCCCGGCTGAGGACTCATGATGAATGATGTTGAAGACTGTAATGGCCACAATCAACAAGCTGTCAGAGGACAGTTGGAATACACTAACTCTTTGTGCCGGACATCAAATCAGAAATGTCTCTTTACAGACGCTGTGACTTTACCTTCAAAGTCAGCATTTCCTCTGAGGGCTCATCTCTATCTGCAGAACATTGACTTTGTATCTCCTGTCTGTTCTAAGGGCCCCAATTTATGTTATTTTTAAACTAAGGTCATCTGAGGGAGGTCATTTTTTTCTGTGCATGTCCTGCTGTGGATACAATACACCCATTACCGGTAAAGTAAAACACAATTTGAGAATAAAATAGCAGGGTTGGCTGAACACTTTCAAACTCCATTTAGCCATTATGTCATGAAAGGAGATGTTAAACTACCTTCTCTAAACGCATTCAATCAAGGGTATGAATGTGACAACATTTTAAAATAATGTAAAATACAATCACAGCACACACCCAGTTTCTGGTCACTGAAAATATCTGTTATGAGTGAACCAGTTTAACTGCTGACTGCAATGAAATTAAGGATGTTACTCCATTTTCTCCCTCCATCTTTTTATTCATTTCATTCAATCAGGTTTGACAAGTTTGATGAACATCTTTAAAAAGCAAAGTTAACTGGTCAACTGTTCGCTTACTTACTGCAACAGACAAAGTTGCATACATTTTTCATGTTGTGGTTGGGGAAAATCAGCTGCTGTGTCTCACAGAGGCTTTCTGTCACTTTTTGGGGGGTTAGTGATATCAACTTCCTTAAGACTATAGATTTGTGAGTAACTTTATTTAATTTTATTTTACTTTACATTTTAAGCTTTTAATGTTCAGTGGTTCCGGTGAGATAAAAATGGGAGGATGTTAACAAATACTGACAGGCAATATTATGTGCTTTACACTCTGGAGGAGAACACCTTCAGAGAGTCCTCTGTCTTCAAGAAGATGAAGCCCAAAACCTGGCCTCTCTTCACCTAAACCCATCAAAAGCAGGGATCATCTTCATCCTATGAAGCACATCAAAAACTGAACTTTATTACTTTAGTCAGATGGTGAATCTGGGTGATGGTGAACCTGGGTGGAAGTAAGCTGAATTCAAAATGCACACAAGTGTAGAAGCCTCTGGGAAAAGGTATAAAAACAACATTTTTTTTGAAAGGAAATGCTGAATCTAATTTTTGTATATGTCATCAACAATATGTGTGTTGATGTGAAGAGATGTTATTTTAAATGAAATTTTGATGATGATTGTGATCATTATCTCATAATAATTATTTTCTCTCAAGATTTTAAATAATTTGTCTTTTAGTATCAATTTTAGTTTATTCTTAACATGTTACTTCCAATCTATTCAGCATTTCAGTCAGTTTCACTCAAACAAATGACTTTTTCCACTATCAATGTTTACATTTGTTAAGTCAGATTGTTGCCTCAATTTATTTTAACATCAACTTAGGTTAACAGTGTAATGTATATGCTCACTGTCTGTGAGGTGCCTCAAAGGCCTGCTAAGCATTTTTCAGTTCCAGGAGAAGATGTTATGATTACTCTACAATGCCTTAAATGTGGAGAAATTGCATGGTAAGACTTTCCCATTAGTAACTATGAGAACCTGAAAACAACTGTCAAAGCCGGTATAATCATATTTTTTCCAATGGTAAGCTTGGAACTGGTTATACCATATTTTTTATGCTGCCATCCAGGATCACTTCTGTCCTTATCAACCGAAATGAAGAGTAGCAGAGCTGTCGCGGTACAGGCACCACAAGTAAATCAGCTGTTATGGAATACCCATTTTCCACGCTCAGTTTTCCTGGTTGGACTCAAGATTAGATTTAACAGAGTTTAAATTTTGAGGGGCTGGCTTGATTAGTCAAAGGAAGGGATATAAACATCTGGAAAAGTCTTGTCTTAAGCTATCCTTCCTTCATTCCGCCTATTCTTCCAGGCATATCAAAAGAAGTAATCTGTGTGCACAGTCCGTACGGCTTTTGGATCCTTCAGGTTAATACTTTGCTGAAGCTTGTCTGTGCTGTTTATCCTGAAATTCCTCACAGTCCTGCAGAATGAGTTACACATATCATGTTCATCCTATGAGTTTAACTAGATTACCTCTTATCATAAACTGTAAAACTATTAAAATTAAAAGGTAAAATACATTTAGAATAATAATTAAGATTATTATAATATACAAACAGAATTAAAACAACAGCAAACGAATATAAATGGCTACCAAGCAAATATTAGAGAAAATGTATTAGTCTACACAGTGTGTATACTGACCTGTTCCACCAGGTTGTTTAGAACAATATATGATTAGAGAAATGCTTTTGTTTTGCTATTTTGTATCAATTTATTCAAATTCATCAAGCAATAGAAACAAATCTATTTAGATTAGGTAAACTCAAGTATCTCTGTATTGTTTTTATACAGCCTATACGCATTCACGTATTTAATATGAAATATAATATAGAAAGGAAATGTAACATGTTTTTAAATGTTGACATTAAAGTCAGTATATCTATTACAATATAATTCAAAGAAGCAGTGAATGAGTGAGAGTCGTATCCGATTGCTACTGTGGACGCTTTGTTTACATCTGAGTGAACGAAACAATTCTGGACCTCTGACTTAGCGGAAGTTGTCAAATGACGTAAGAGGCGTCCTTCATCTCTTCGAGCGGGACTTTGGTCACAGACCACAGAAACAAAAAGTTCTGTGACTTCCTCAAATAGCTGCTTTTTGTTTATTAGACATGGCCCTCCAGATTGAAGCGGATTTACCACCTGGCCTTTCAGGTCTGAAAGTAAGTTCTAGATTAATTTGTAAATGTACCTGTCTTGCTAACATGCTGGCTACTAGCCCTTAGCTAAATGAAAACCACAACAGCCACATCAATGGAAGCGCAGACGTTACCTAGCGAGCAACGTTACCTTTCCAAAGCAATCTAACTTTTGTTAAACATACATTTAACTGTAATCCGTCCTTTCATATACATCTGAACTATGTGCTAATAGTTGCTAATGTAACATCAGCTAACCTTATAGCCACAATGCCACAGGCACATTTGTGATCATTGAGTTTCTGACGAAGTAACCCAGTGATCAGTGCACATAATGTCGAACTGGATCTCTGTCCGTTCAGAACATCAAACGTTATTTCAACAGTCTTAATCGTATATGCTACCCTGCTAAGACAAACAATTACCCAAACATACATAGCTAGTGGTCATATCAGGTCATGCTAACTTAATTTGGGATGCTGTACAGTATGCATTATGACAGTGAACCAAGTGCAGGATGTTGTGAAACACACCATATAAACACATGAGCACATGAGAAGAGACTTAACCTGGGTAGTGCTACTAGCTATGACCCATGCAACCACTAGTAACCTTACACACTATGGGGTACGGATGGGTTTTAAGACAGACGTACTGTCCCTCTGTAGGAATGTATGTAAAATTGTTTGCCAATTTCATGGTTATTTCCCTGGTTATTTACAGGGAAATAACCAACTCTAGATTGAACAATTTGATTGGTCATATTTTGTTACTCTGAAAATAGATATAAATAAATACAAAGGTTATTTAGATTTTAAAACATTTGAGTGAAATATCTGATTCATTCAACTTTTTAGGCAAACTTATTTGACTGAAAAAGTTATTCACAGTCTGTGTTGTTAAATTTCATGCAACCTGCCACGTTGTCAATAGAGGATAAATGTATTATTGCCAGGCTACTTTATTTTCTTGGTTGGTAGAGTTGTTTTATGAATAGTGTATGCTCTCTGTGATTTTTCTCATCTGCAGAATGTTGATGCCCTGCTTCGGTGTCCAATTTGCTTCGACTTCCTCAATATTTCAATGATGACAAAATGCTCTCACAACTGTAAGTAACAAGTAGGGCAGCTTCCACAGCAGACATGGTGCTAACTACTCTTACAATAAGTTTAACAAAGCCATGTATAGATGAAGGCAAGACCACAGAGCGACTTGTGTAAGCAAGCAAAATGCAGCTGAGAATGTAGTTTTGAAATTCACTTCAAAGCAGCAAGAGTTGAACATTTATTTTTTTGGACCATGTACAGCTGGACCATGTGCAGCTTTCAACATAAATGTCACCACTTGATGCACGGCACCAGAATGTAGCTTCAAGCTGATTTGCATCAGCAGTCCCTTGGCAGGTCAGATTAGAAAAAAAACATAATTTTCTTTACTGAGTAAAGACAACATACAAAGCTATACTAAAATGAGCACACAACAAGTAGCACAGAACAAAAGTACACACAGTAGTATAATGTAAAGGAATGATAATGGATGCCTTTTCTAATGAGTAGAGTGTTTTTGCAATATGTGTGTGTTAGCTACTTGTACAAATATATGTACATGTGTATGTTAGCTTTGATGCCATTATCATCTTGAGAAAGACCCCTATAGAGTACTTCTGAATTCAAGGCCCTACTGTTGTCTCTGCATTAATAACTTGGGTTCCCTGCTTCAGTTGAAGCAAGTTAATCTTAGGTGGATGCATCTTTCTCTGACTCTGTTTGTGTCTTAAAGACTTGGCATGCTTTTTGTGCTGAAATTTGCTCTGTGTTTTGTGCACTGAGATACTCAATTCAGCAGATATAATTGAGCCACACTGTGAACTAAATGAGATTTTTCCATCCAAATGGATACTGACTAACAACTGTGATGAAAGAAAGGAAATGATGTAAGCTCTGCATAACAGATAAACTCAATTTTGTTTACATTTCATTTCACAGTTTGCTCTTTGTGCATCAGACAATTTCTTTGCTACAAGTTGCAGTGTCCAGTTTGCAATACAGTAAGTATGAACTTGACTTGAATGCATAAGTATACTCCCCAGCTGCATTTCCATAATCATTATGGTTATAACCTCAATAAGGATGGCACATTCATAGGCCATCATCTGTAATTAACTGTATTTATTTGATAAAGGATGCAAGTTTCCTTCATATCTCACTTCTTCTTTCCCTCAGCAAGCAACAGAACAAGATCTAAGAAACAACCGTTTATTGGATGACTTGGTCGTAAACTTTCAAGCTGCAAGGTAAACGTACATCACATTGTAGACGATTACCAGTAAACTGTCATGTCTGAAAAATATCAGGGCTTTCTCTGCCAATCGACCCAAGTGCACACTGCAGTAGCGGATTAAATGATAGAAAAATGTAAATGTAAGCAATTGCATTGCATAATTCAGCACATATATTGAATAAAATTCCGTTTAGGCATCGGTTTTGATTTGAAGCTATTGCAATCAGTGCAAGGAATTAAAATGTTCAATGAATATAAAACAGTCAAAAGCACATGGTATAAAGCATGTAGTGTGAGTGCATTTAGGGCGTGTCCATATCCACTTTTTCTAATTTAATGGCAAAAAAACAGTCACTGAGGCAGAAACATGGTTCAAATGGGGTGTACTTAGTCTCCTGATTATTCAGGGGAGTGTTTTGAGCCTCATCTATATCAAAGAGACGTCCATGACACACGGCAATGTTATGCAGCACACAATATGCCACAAATAATGTTTCGACCTTCTGAGGGTTGTATTGTAATGTACTACCTCACTTATCCAAACATTTGAAGTTCCTTTTCATTTGCAACAGGCAGAGTGTATATGCGTTGTGCACCCGCCTATGTAGGCGCTATTTAAACAATGTGTGCACTGGAAGGGAAAATGACAACTGCTTGGTCTGGAACTAGCAAAGACGTTTGCATTTTGCGTTATACTAGGTGTAACATGGGGTCCACTGAGTTAACTGGTTTGTTGGTTCTTATTGAGGAATGGCTCTTTATTGTCATGTACTATCAAGTATTTCCTGACCTTTTTCAAACCAGCTCAATCCGAGAACAAGGATCTAAGCAATTTCTTTTGACACATCCATCTACAGCATACAGTGTTTTTTATTTTTAGCGTGATTACATCTAATTCTTTTGCCTTCAGAGGGAGACTAAAAGAATAGTGAAACTGGCCGATCAGGAAATGAGACACAATCCACGTAAAACCCCTTTACCATGAACACAGGCGCACTCCCTGAGCACCTGTCCAATTTGTAACATCATGTTTCTAAGAACTGAAGAGAATACTATACTGTTATGATTTTAGGGGATCCCATTATTATTGACAATTTCAGTTTACTTCAATTTACCAGCCTTGAAGAAACACTCTAATTGCCCTCCGGTAATCTGCATCTGATTTAAGGATTTTCTGTAAATGAAATGGGGATTTTGTTTTCATGAGCTGAGGTCATTCAAGATTCTCCTTGTCTTGCACGTATGTGAATGTGGAGTAGCTTTAGGGCTGATATTTTTTCATTACAGCAGGATGTAGACAGCAGTGTCCAGAGCTGGTCTTAAGGAAATTTCCTTATACCTCAAATTTGAAATTTTTTCCCCAGTGACACTTATCCCAGTAAAGGAAAAAAACATTTACTCAAAATTGATTATCCTGTTATGAGTAGCACTGGCTGCATGGGTGCAGCTAGCCATATGCTTGCAGTCACTGATTGTCTTATGCAGCCTGGGGTCATAATTGTTTTATAATGCGATATAAACTTAAATTTACACTATAAAACTGCAGTAGCTCGTGCCAATCCCTGTGATTACGTATCTCAGTTTAGAGTCATAAAATAAGATGAAGATAAGCTGAGATTCACTTTATTAATTCCACAAGGGGGAATTTGCATTGTTACAGCAGCATCAGTATATAGATGAGGATAGGTCAAGTGTAGTTAAAAGAAAGATTTTTACATCACTCTATATACCTGGCAGTCTTTGTTTGTTTGTTCTTAATGAAGAAAAACCCCAATATACAATGACGGCAGAACAAGCTTCTATTAGGGATGTATATTTTGCTCATGTTTTAAGGTGCGTTATTGCATTTTCCCAAGACAGACAGATGAAATTAAACCTGCTAGATGAACTCTGGCTCATTTTCTGTTCATCAGTGGGAATTATGCCTTCAAAATAAATGATAAATGATGATGATCATAAAAAAAAAAAAGTAAGATCCTCTGAATTGTTTCTTCAATGTCTGGGCTGATGTCGATATAATATCTGAGCGCTGTTATCAGTCAGTGAGCCATGATGTTTCTCCCTTCCATCAATCACTTCAAAGTTATCTACACTCTGAAAGCTCTTCCCTCAAACTGTAGACCTTCTGATTTTCATCACTGTTGTGAATGGGTGGCTTGCAAAGCTGCTCTTTCCTCTGTCTTTCAATTTCCTGTTGTCTAGCATTGAGTGTCTGAAAAATGGGATTCATAAAGTGTTGTTGTTATGTAGCAACACACTTGTCTCAAACAATTTAGTTCATTTTCTGTGGAATAAATGTATTACATTTAAAGACTGCCTCTGTTATAGACTTTATAGCAGGTGTTTGGGGATTACCTCCTTCTTCGGGCTACTTATATTTCTCACTGCTACCTACCTACACAGTAGGTAGCTGTTGGCTGATGGCAGTTATTTACTACTGTTGAATAAGAGGCCTACGTCTCTAGCATACCATTAGCCGTTATCGCAGTGACCAGCTACCTCGTAGTCTCTTGTCTCACTCAGTAAACACATTTACTTAAGTAGACGTGGTGCTTGCACATTGAGACATTACATACACTGATATTAAATTCATTCATTCACAGTGCCCTTTTCTGTTGTGTTTCTTTTGTAATGGACCAGTGTCTTTATACCTCTTAACAACTGTAGTCAGTGGCTGTTTTGTATGTCACAGAGGGTGTTCAAAGAAGCGTGGGTCAACAAAGATCACTGACGTCCAGCATCATAGTAGCTATATAGTAGCAGTCCATCCACTTAGCACTCAGTTCTAATTATAAAAGGTTATTCTTCACATTGTCGGGAGAATCAATTTTACAATGCAATTTAAATTCAATTAGTGTGTGTAATTTAAGTAAATGGTATTGACTCATTTTGGTTCTTTTGCTTACTGCAAGTAAGATTTCAAACTAAATGCCTAAATTGCTGGGTCTATTCCTTCATGTAGTATCCCACTTAAATAGTCAATGTCAATGTATTTCTGAGAATCTGACTTTTATTTTTTGTAACTCATTGATATTTAGTCTTGATATGATTCTTCTTGTGTCGTGCCACATTTTGTGTTAATTGGTAATGTTTAAAACATTGTTTTGCAGTCACTGCAAACACTTGAAATCTGTTTCATTCTTGACTCCCGGAAAGACCTGGTCCATTAATTATGAATGGCCTGAGTCTCCCTCCTGCTGCTGAATAATGAATTGTGGATACAATCAGATTGAACTGTAATGTGTGTATAGGTGAGCCCCAGCTCATTCTTTTCCACCTAAAATGCGTTCAAGCCTTACTGGAATGCACCTTGAATTTTATTTTTGTGAAAAGGAGCTACAGAATATGTTTTATATTACGGGCCTTGTGCTGGAATAAGTCAGTCACAATGGAATGGGCACTCAGTTCCTGTCTTTTCCTTGAAGTTGTTAAATGTTTCTATTGATATTTCAATTAACTGCCCAGTCTTTATAGACCAAGCAGATAATGATGAGCATTATTCAAAGAGTGCTTCTTTTTGTAGCTTGACAAAAAGGCGCTTAAAATGTAATTACTTTGGTGATTTCAAGAGTCCTTTATGTCAGAGTTTTTGTCACCTGTAGCAAAGTTATAGAACTGCTTGGTCACAATGTTACTACAGTGTAAAATGTGTTACTTATTTTAAACACAAAGTATACCTGACAAGTACTACACCTCCAAATTTAGAGCCTGATTTGTGTCTCTGGCTGGTGTCATCTCCATGGCAACAGCCAGTAAACTACTTGGATATCATATTTAGAACCATTCGACTTACTAAAGTGATGGAAAAAATGAGATTGCTCAAATGAGGCAGAAAACGTTTCAACTAATGGCTATAACGCAAATGTTGAGTAACACTGCAGTTAAGCAACAGTGCAATAAACAATTAGATCCAAATTTACAGAAGGGACAATATTAAATAAGTAAATGAAGCCAGAAACTTTCCACTTTGCAACTTGTTGTGATTTAGATACTTTTCCATACATTTTTGCAGTTTTATAGATGTATGGTAGGGGGAGAGTATATTTCTTTGTGGGGCTGGGAGGAGGTATGTGTGCAGGTGTGCGTCTGTGCATATGCATGAATTTGCTCTAATGGGGACAGTAAGCACAAATAAGTTTTAAATATGGAAAGCGGAACATCACACACCTCATTGGTTCCATTTTATTACCAAGTAATGGCCCTGCAGCAATTTGTTTGCCTTCCACATTTCCAAGACTGTAGCCAAAGAGTCATAATTGAGCAGGTGCAGTTTAACGTCAATGGGTCACATTACTGTCAACAGTATTTATTGCCACACAGCGCTTTTCTCTTTTCAATGGTCTTAATGTTTTTTAAGAGGACATAAAGTCTGTTACCCTACATAATATACTTTATGTAATTATACTTAGCGTGTTGTTGATCAGTGTTTTTAGGTAGATAATTTGTGAGAGAAACAGAACAGGCTATTGTACTGTATGTATCAAAATGCATTCAAACTTTTAAAAGGGGGCATGGCTGTGTACATGTCTAAATCATATGCTTCACACATTTTCATTCACATGCACTTTGCTGTTCTTCTTTTTCCAGGCAGCAGTTGTCAAAAGCAAATTTTGACTCTCCTCCAATATCGCCCAAGACCCCAGCTTCAGCTGTCAAATGTAAAACTCCCAGAGCGAGGGCCCAGAAGTGCACCAGCTCCGTTCTGAGCAACTTTTTCCAAAAGAAGTCCAAAACACCTCCAGCTAAAGAAACCCAACGAGATGGTTCTGTCTCTCAGTGGGTCCAGCGGGGAAAAATACAGACTGCACACACTCACCGTGCAAATGATGCTGACCTACATTCAGCAACTGCTCGTCTTCCAGTGACCGTGAAGGAAGAGCCGATGGATGTGGAGGAGGCATCTGTCCAAGGTTTGATGACTGTCAAACAGGAGGACACATCCTCGCACAGTTTCAGCACCGGGGTTGAGATGGCACATTCCTCTTCACCATCGATAGACGTAAAGCCCGTAATCAAAGGTGAAGCTTTTTCTACCTGTATGTTAGGAACGCTGCATCACCCAGTATGACACAGCCCATGGAACTGTCTCGTTAACTCACTCACAAAATCACTCCTGATGACACTCGCAGAGGTGTGACCTCTGCGTTATTAAAAAATGAACACAAAATCAATTTACACAATCTTTAATTTTGTTTGGTTTGTGAAATCCATTACACTGATTGGCAGGCCACCTCTGCCTCTGTGTCAAAGATGTGTGTGGTGAGAGTTGTGAGCAGGGACTGTTTTGAAAACTTGTGTTATTCATTCAAGGACAGTCTTGACATATGGGATTTTAAGTGGTTTCCTTTTCAAAGCAAGTATTCAGTCTATGCAATTTTTCAACTTTTTCAAAATGAATGGTGTACTTTTGAAAGTCATACGTGTTAAGATTTCTAGTTAATGTTATAAAAGGGTTGTGTTGCTGATTTTAGATATTTGGTACCTTGTTAAGGATCAGCTTTTCATTTCTTTAATTAGAATAATTAATGAAGACATTCTAGTGTTATAACAACTGTTTTTCCCATGTGATTGGTATATATTTATCTTTTTAATAAGCTGCTGATAATGTCCTGTTGTGTAATTTTTTTGCAGTGGAGTGCCCCGTGTGTTCTGTCAGTGTGTCACAGCAGTTTATCAACAAGCATCTGGACACATGTCTTAGCAGTGGAGAGAAGAAAGAAAGCTTGAGGAGGTAAAATACCCACTTAACTGCTCACTTAAATGATGACTCCCAACTGTTGTTTGCTCAACCTGTTATGCTCTATAGGGATATAGATAAAACTAAAATGTAAAAAGGACAAGTTGAGGTTTTTAGGAGCGATTTATGTGTTGGGGCAATTTTTTGGGATAATAACCGCTTTGCACTGACTGTGACGGTGTGTTTCGAACATGCTTAAAAAACAATTTACGATTTGTCTATCCAGGGATTGTGTGACTGTTTGGAAATTAATCCTAATTCTGGAGTTGACTTTGATGTCATAAAGATAAATTGCAGAGGTTTTAATACTCAGGTCTGGTGTAGCCAGCCTCCATGAATAGGATTCTTCTTGCTATCAATCTTAATTCCTTACACTAATTCCTTTATGAAAGAGAAAATGTACAATACAGCTGAAAAACACATTTGACTGGCTCGTGTGATATAAGAGGACCACGGATCATAAGACCAGACTGAAAAATGGCAAAAAATGGCAAATCCCATCTGTTTATATAATTTTGTCATGAGCTCAGCTGATGTGACCAACGTGTGATATGTTTGAGGTGGCATTTACATCACTCTTTTCTGCTTATGGTGTCCAAGAAATCCGAGACAGAACCGTCAGTCACAGAAGTTTATTACAGCTGAGCACATTCATGCCTTCATCAGGCAAAACCAAGCAATATGTGGTGATTACTAAAATAAACTATTCAGGCTGTCTGTTGCAGCTCCCTTGGCAGGACGAGGCATCCAATGACCAAACTGGTGTACAACCTACTTTCCATGCATGAGTTGAAGAGGAGGCTGAAGGAATGCCACCTCTCAATGCAGGGCTCTCGAGACCAGCTGATCAAAAGACACCAGCAGTTTGTCCACATATACAACGCCCAGTGTGATTCCCTAAACCCACAATCAGGTATACCATGAAGGTGATACTGTAGTTAACTGTGTGATGTTTGTAATCATGAGCGAGTAGGATGACTAATGAAATATGTGCCGTTGGTTTTTATATTAATGAGCTGTATGCATCATTGGAGTTAATGAAACAAATTTGATTTTAAAACTCCACAAAAGTGCTGCTATAGCACAGTTATCTAGTGTATGTAACAACTGTGGAAATGTCCTCAGTTAACTCTGAGGACAAATGTGTTCAAATCCATAGCACATGAATTTATACAGCACAGTAAGATGTGTGGACAGTCACTTTCAATCATACAGGTTGTTTTTTTTCCTTTTACTGGCGTCTCCAGGAATGCCTCCGTTTTGAACAGTGAGAGTGGGTCAAAACCTCTCGTCTTTGACAGCTCAATTCATATAACAGGCAATCTTTGTGATCTCAAGAGTAATAAAGATTTTTCTTTCCTCTGTCAACAGCTGAAGATATTGCCAAACAGGTGGAGGCCAACGAGAAGATCAGGAACCAACTGCAGGGGAAAGCCAAACCTGTACGTACTAACTGCTTTAAATGATATCCTGAATTGTGTTAAAATTTCATAGGCTACATTTTTTAAGAACTTTGCGATCGCAGTAGTAGGGCAGTTCTAAATAGCTGGCTTAAACCAAGCTGACATGGAGCAATTGCACAGCATATGTTTTAGTAATACAGTATTGTCAGGTGGATTTTCATTGATGGTTAATGTATATTTTCTTGTCCATTCAAACCTCTTGCAGGCCATGGTTTTCACAAAGAATCAGACTGAGAAGGAAATTGATGAGATGCATTCAAATTATAGTAAGTGATTTTTCCTTTCCCCAACTAGAAGGGCAGTCAAAGAGCACAGACCTCTGCCAAAGCTAATTAAAAAATAATTAGAATTCATAGTAAATGATTCGGATCTGTCCCAAAGTTTAATGGGTTCTTCCCTGGTCTACCCCCCCATCTCTTCACCAAATTCAGTGCAAATCGGTTCAGTATTTTTTGCGTAATCCTGGTGACAAACTAACTAACAAACAAACAGCTTTCATTCAGCTTAAATCCAGAAGGTTATTTATTAGAAGAAAAGGACACATTGCATGATAGTTGACTTTGTTTGATTTAAAAAAAAAAAAGTTCTGAAATCTTTTACATAATATATATTTATGTCATCACTGAGGAAAAAAAGATGGTACTATGACCCTCTGGGCTGTGTCCAAAACTGTGGTTTATTTACAAAATGTATGAATTCTGTCTTGTGTAGAAAACCCAAAATGTACGAGTTGCATGAAAACACACCAGACAAAAAGAAACGCTAAATGTGTTTGCCTCAGAGAGATGGAACACTTCTCTCAAAAACATGAGTATTTTTTTTTTTTTACCCAAGTGGAACGGACCAATTTTGTGTCCAATGAAATGCTTTGTAATGTTGCTTTCTCCTTGTTGTCACCATATATTTCACAGCACTTATAAACTAATATTGCAAACTACATGTTTTTTTTTTCTTTTTCATTCTACTGGAGTGGTACACAGGAGGAAGGCTCCTCTATCGTGCAGCTGTGTCGCCACTTTCTAAGACAAGGCAGGTCAACATAAGCAGGCAATGCTTATGTTGACCTGCCTTGACTTGTCTTCATTTAGGGAAAATAAGTAAGCTTTTCATGTTCGTTACACGGTATATTTCATTATATAAGACATTCTCTCTGAACTAGCTTTAAAGAGGAATATTTCATACAGAACCATAATTAAGACTAAAAAGCCTTTATTAAAGTAATCAGATCAACAGTATACAGTCATGCTTTTTACCATCTACTGCACTAACTTCATCTCCCTATTGCAACTTTTTTGAAACTACATAATAACTTCTATTATTCCCTTCTCTACGATTCTTTTTTTTAAATTTTATTTAATTCCATTTCTTCGTCTCCATGTATGATTTTCCTTGTGATTTCCCTTCTTGGCTGGACATCTGCGCATGTTCATGACTGAGTTGAGTGAGTGAAGTTACAGAGTGGCCCATTGGCTGTTGCTCTGTCAAAAATGATTTGGTACAAACTGTTTGTAATATGTCATCAGGGGGTGTTTACAGCAAATTGTTTTTTTTTTTTGTTTTTTTTACAAATCGCACCCTGTGCACACCTATACACAGTCCACTAGGTTTATACCTCATCTTGAAATGATGACACAGACACCCACAATCACTTCCTTCCTTAATTCACAACGTTTACTTCCCTGATTCATGGATTCGAAGGATAATGCACCAGGTGCCACTCTTATTGTGTTACTATATTTGCTTTGCAAAGACTCCCAATCCATGTTTTCAGCCGCCATGACCACCTTATACCCATGTGCTGCTTTCAGTTCCACCTCGTCGTCGGTCCATGCAGAGAAGTCTCTGGTCTTACGTATCACAATTGCCGTTTCTCATTTGTAGTATTTTCTGCAACTAAGCAACCAACTGCAGAGCAAACCGCTCAGTGTATGTGAATGGTTATGTGATATTCAAACAGAAAACAGAGTTGCCATTTAAAAAAAACCTAAATGTATCAGTGGATGTTGCCACACTCACGAGACAAGGAGAGGAACTGAAGGCAGCACCTTAGAAAAACTCTGCTTTCTTCCCTGAAGTACATGAAAGTTTCTTAATTTCTTTTGATGATAGCGGAGGTGGTCTCTACTTCATGTGAGAGGGCCCGCATCTCTTTTGAAATACTGCAGGAAGCCCTGTTTATTGATTTGAATCTTCTGTTGTAATACCTCAGTCAAACTATTAAAGGGGCATTTTTTAAAAGATCCCCCTGAATTATTTCCTTACAGAACAAAGCAGGACACAAGCCTGGGCCACAAAAGTTTTAAAAGTCTTATCTCAAGAGTAGATGTCTGAAAGAACTGATAACTTTGGGCATCTTAATGACCACCTGTGATGACTATTTTTAAAAGTAGACCATAGGCTTTCAGACCGGTCAGTGGATTAATTTTATTTTCCTTTAGGCAGGTAGTTGAGTAGGAAAACCCACAGGTAATCCATCACAGAAACTGCATGATGTTATTTAAGTTGAAGTTGAGTAATAGTTGCATGGCAATGCAGTGGAGGAGTCTAGAGAGCCAGTTCTGGAAACTGAATAGGCAATATTCACAGCATTACATACTTTGTGCCTCCAACAACATCGTTACCATTTTGCATATTCAGTGTCACCCAGCCATAATCACTATCTTACTTTATTCAGTCTAGAAGCCCTCAATTTCGGGAAGAGAAACAGGCAGGATTGCTGTGTGAGTAGTGAGTAATTTAGCTGCTAGAGGTGGGTGGAAAATGTAAAACTGATGAGGTTTTTACCTCAGGGTAAATAATACCCCAGAGTTTTTTATTATGACTTGTAGGGTTATTTGGCTATTTAAGTGCTTTTTCCATTCCTTATGAGCTCATAGATAATCATTCAGAGACAGATAATCAGACGTACAGACCAGGTCTTTGTTTCTATCCACAGGGTGCAGAGGTCAAACAAGAAGAGCAGCATTATAGAACATTATCCGAAGCCATGTTGACATGGGTGAACAAGATGAAAAGCCTGTTAGAAAGAACTCTGTAGAGCTAACTTAGAAAGTGGCTGAAAAATGGATGTGACTCACAGGAGGAGGGTTCTAAAAATAGCTGCACTGCTGTGATAACCTCTTGATTTATCAGAGGATGTGGATGACTCACTCTGCCAGCGTGGGGAATAGTGAATGAGCAGACAGGAAGGTGAAAGCAGCATATGCGCATGCACACATTAAATCCACCGGGAGCTTGTAGCCTTCTCTTAATGTGACAACATGTTCTTTTAGAGTTAATAGTCAGTTGCCGGTTATTCAGAACACATGTTCACAACCCAGTGTCACTGCAAGGAAAAACCCAGAAATCCTGCTTTGTGGTGAGACCAGCCTCTGACAAGTTTGATGTGCTATGTGCTTCCCAACTGTTGCCATGTTGTGACTGCAGACTGCAATGAAATATAATGGTCAGCCGTGGTACATGACATTCATTTTTACTTATAACTAAATAAGACAATGTATTTAAACTGGATTTTTGACATGGGTGATATGCATTTTGCAATGCAATGTTACCAAAACTAGTACAGATGTAGTACACTAATTGTTCAGAAGAGTAAATGTATACTTAAGCTATCAGTGATAGGTCTGAGATAGCACAGTTGTTCCATTTTCAAAGTTTTAATTGATTAAGGTTGTCTCATAATAACAGAGTGGCGCCCACTCTCCATTAGAGTTTGAGTCACCCACTGTCAGCGTCACAATGTTCATTCATTGCTGCAGTGGTAAAAGAAAAGCATAGTTTTACTGGCAAATGTTATAACTAAATTGCAGATTTGTCTTTTAAATTTAAAATATATATACTGTATATATTACTTTTATAAGGTTTTCCATATGTGTGTGTTAGAACTATGGAAAGGGTGGATTATTTTTTTAATATTTAAAAAAGAACCCTTAACTGAACCTTAACCATAACTGATGATAGCAGCTTTAAGGGAAACATTTAATTTAAACACATACTGCCCCCAGGAAGTTTAGCTGTTGCCAGGGCAACAACTAATGTGGTTCCAAACAAACATCAAGCATTTAGCTTCCAAGTGTCTACAAATGAAATAAATTCTACTGTCAATTTTGGTAACCATAAGCAACAAAAACTGGGGCTCTGTTTAGCAATGTTTCTGAGAGATACAAATTCCATGCTTTTCAATTTCATCTTTATCAACTTCAGATCAGCTAATGTTTGAAAAGTTTTCAACGTATGTAGTACACAATTTTAAAACACTCACTAACCTAGCAATGGTAATATTTAGATCATACTGTAGAGCTAATGTTAAATGCAGTTTTTTTTTTGAAATCTCTCAGTTCTGGCTCCACTTTCCAATCTTTGCTCACATCAACATCACAGATTTGCAGATCCTCTGGATTTCTGTGGAAAGTGATTAAAGCGTTTATTTTTGGATCACTGGCAAAATTAAAATTTTCTTCTTCCCTGCTTCAATTCAATACTCAACTATAATGTCTTCTCAATGAGTGTTTGGCGTCTTTCTCAGTCGGAGTTTTTTGCCATAGTGATCTCATCTCGGAGCTTGCAGCTGTGTTATTTCACTTCAAACACTGAGACTCATGAATAAAACCTTGTATTCTTCCAAAATCTATTCAACCTTTCAAGGTTGGAACTTGTCATTTCCAAGTCAAAATGTTAATCTGTTTTGCATGATCTGTTTGATTTCGTTGTTCCAAAGAAAAATGAGTCTGTATTTACTATAAATATTAATACACGATTTCCCAAAAAACATACAGTGGCCTGTTCACGGGTTGGGTTCCTTCTTTCTTTAAAAAGTGTCTAGTCAGCTTATTAGCTACGTAACCCTAACCTGAAATGATAATATCTAGTTTTGCATTAAGCTCACTGACACCAAGTGCATACCTCAGATACTGTTGCATAATGTTACAACACCCATGCCATGAAAAGCTCTTCCCCACTTACCTATTCCACCATATATGGTATTTTGCCCACAGGGAAGCAGCACAGCAGCGACTTTTCCCGCCTTATCGCCCAGGTCCGGGGTCGCCTAGAGACCAAAAGGCAGACTCGTATCAAACAGGAAGTCGTAGTGGAGGGAGAGGAAGAGACGCCCTCTGCAGGTACTTCAACACTCCTCAAGGAATAAAATGTACTCTAGCCATAGGAGAGCATTAACTCTCCAAACAACATTTCCTATTGTAAAACAAATGAATTGCATCATGATGAGTATGTTATTTTACTAAGCCATGCAGTGCAGCTTGTCACAGCTGTAGTGACTCCCTGCTGCTTGTGTGTGTGTGTGAGAGGTTTGTGAGTTAAGTGCACTCAATTTTGTTGTTCCATCCTTCCCGAATTCACAACATGACTGTGCACTCCACTGTTGTGCGCATCAAGGGTGGATAGAGAAACATCAATGGCTGTGATGAATTTTGGTCTGTTTTTACAACAAGTGGAAATGCAGACAACAATTTACCAAATGTTAAAGAGGAGGTTCAGAGAAGGTGAGGAGTGGAAAGAGTAACTGAGGAAACTACAGTTTTTAGATAATTTCACATACTGATAATTTATTAGAGTGATTTTTAGTCTTGAAAGTCGGTGACAAATCTTTTTTCATATATTTTCAGTATAATTTGTAATTTTCTCTAATTCATCAAAATGTTTTATCATGGTTTGAATAGTGTGATTTTTACCAACTGAACAAATAGATTAATGGGGTTGCATGTTGCTAATTTGTACGCAGTACACAAATAAAAGGCTACATAGTACCAGCAGGACCTGAAACCTACTTTTACATTGAGAATATGTGAGACCAAAGGAGACTGGGTTGTCAGGGGCAGGGACATTTTATGCATACTCCTTTTGACAGGTCATCACTCCACTGATTGATTCCCCCTGGATGTCTGACACGATGATATATATTTTTGCATCCTACAGATCAAGTTGAAGAATCAAAGAGCTGCTTAGTGATTAAGGTAGAAGACAGTGACGAGGAGCCATTAGCAAGAGGGATTGAGTTGTCACCCAGTCCCACTTACAGTGAAGTGTCCATCAGCAGGTGAGTCATAGATACCACATATCCTGATTCACTTTCAGAGGATGACACCCTCAAAGCTTGTTGTCAAGTGCTGGTGCTTGTATAGACAAAAAGCTGAGTAGTTGAGTGAATGTATTTTTGACTATTTTCATACAGTTTGGTTCTGAAGTGTAATTCCACAGTGATAATGATCAACGGTTACTTGGCAGAGTGCTTCCGCATAATAAAGCCTTGAGGGCATTTCTGACTGTCTTTATTTTAGAGATGTAGTAGCGTTTCTTTTCTGGCCACTTGTATATGGGCTGCATTGTAATAATCAGATTGATATTTAATTAGTTTTTTCTCATAAACTTCATCATGGTAATAACAATTATTATGTTAACTCTGAGGTAATTGCATTCAGATGTAAACATGTTGGAAAAAGGAGACAAAACAGGTTTGGCTGGACAACAGTCTCTTGACAACTTGTCTGTATCCTGTGATTAACACCAAGAAAATACACTTCCTCTCTTTGTATGTTTTACTTGTGATATATAATATTAGCTGTTATACATAGTGGAGGATCAAAAAGTGAACCCTAAACCACAAAAATGTTATGTTGCAGTATGGTAAATACGGAATCACAACACATACTAAATCTGCACATTGATGGATTATTGTATGTAAGAGGTTCCTGTTAATTCCTGTCCCTGAAATCTGTACATCCCTCATGTAGCTGATATCACAAACATTAGGCGAACCAGCAGATCCAGCTAGGAGAATATACTGCAATCGAGTGGAGCTAAAATAATAAGAAATAACTTACATTGTGTTGGGGTGATCATAAAGTCACAGTGTACGTAGTGCAGTGCGATGGCTTATCTGCATGACATCCATCTATTGGCAATACATCCTTGGTCTGAAAAAAAAAAAACTAAATGTGTGGGAAGAAATGTGTATGAATCACACTCAGTACAATACAGAGAATTTCTGTTTCAACCTTGAAGACTCAGTGGGAGTAGTTATCACTTGATTTCATACCACATTGTCAGACTTTATGCTCTTCACCTACAGTCACTTAACTTATATCACACTGTGACACTGCAGGGAAATATGTCCTACCTGTTATCAAAGGAGGAATTATAATGAACCTGATATTTTATATTATTTTGTTGTTGGGATATTTTCTTAAAAACCCTGAGGTTGTTTGTTGCATGTTTCTAATTCTATTTAAACGTTGTGGGTTGGTGATCTGCATGTAAATCAAAACATACTGGACACACTATTTAACATTAGCTATAATTTTTCTTTTTGTTCTTCTTGTTATTTTGTATTCAGAAAGCTCAGGTTTTAAACAAGTTCTGAATCAATCATTTGCTATTTTCTGGTCTTTTTTCCGCTTGTTAAAGTACAAAGATCATTAGTGTGAAATCACACAGATGTGCAGTCTGAGCTCAAACAGCAAAGATCACTTGCACTCTCTAAATGAAGCCTAGCAGCCAGAACTCTACATCTGGGAATCTGAAACCAGGCGAGCACACTGACGCAATGAACAGTCTTTATTGTGGCTGCTGGATGTTGCAAAAACAACAACTACTACTGTTGTTTACAGGTTAAACTCCTGCAGATACCCACACATGGTGTCTGGTGCATAATGAAAGACAATATAGTAAACACAGTTGTGACAATATAGAATATGTCTTCATAGGAGAAGTTATACTTACTGACAAATACTGTGTAATACACACAGTGTTCTGCTGCATGCGACTACATCATAATGTGTTATAAACCACTTATTATATGTTTGTATACTGCTTATAAATGCTCAGTAAAGGGACTCAAAGTTAGGTGTTACCATATTTCTATTTAGAGGACCCCTTATATCATAAACTGCGATTTACTCTTTACTAATGAGTCCAATTCATTTCCCATTCTTTGATTGTGAATCTCTTGCTTTTGTGCTGTTGTATATGGAAATCATATATTACATGCTTAGTTTGAGACAGTTTTTATATTAAAAATGAATAATAACTCAGCCAGTCATATTGTGCTCTTGATTTGCACACCAGCTTTTCCAAACTGGCTGGATGCAACAATCACTTTAGGCTAATTTATTTTGTTTGTTTCTCCTCTCTTGTATTTATTTTGTTTTTGTTTGTGTTTTTTTTGAGAAAAATGCTTTTTGTTTTTGTTTTCAAATCATTCTCTCTGCAGTTTAAAATCACAGCAGTAATATAGTACAACCACCAGTGTGATAGGGGTTTTACTTTCATTTGCAAATGAAATCAGAAAGTCGGCATTAGTGATTAAACCGCCTCAAGGTGTCACACAAAAACAAACACACGTGGTAAGGGTTGCTAGGCGACAATACCCTGTCAACCATAGAGTACAGAGGTGATGGGTAACAGAAGAATTCCGGCCATAAACTGGCAGAACAACCTCATGATTTAATTTTCAAGTAACAACAGAAAAGCCATTTTGTTATGAATGCACATGCAATGAGATCAGCTTTACAGTACATGCAGCAAATCAATTCAGCACATTAGCCTGTTCTGCATACGAGTGTACTTGAGACACGGAGAGAGGGAAATGGGCAAGTTAGAAGTGCCAACATGCTGTTCACCCAAAGCTATAGAAGTGGGGAAAAATAGTTTTCTAGTAGCAAAATGATTGTAGTGTTGCTGCTCGTTCATAAAAACTCACCTGTTGCTCAGTTGCTCACAAAATGTCAACAACGGAAATGCTTCTCATGCTAAAATAATTGTATTTATAAACTCCTTCCTGAAACATGTTTCATTGTAACTTACCATGAGTTTGGAATTTAAAAAAAAAAAAAAAAAAAAAAGCCCAAAAAATTTCTAGCTGTATATTGACTGGACCTCAATCTAAAGTTATTGTTCCTCAATCTAAAGCCTGTAGGTCACCATAGAGTCACTTTAAAATCTTTAACCAGATCTCACTGAATGTCAGCATGACGGGAGAAAAGAGAGTTGTACTTTCTCTATACTCTGACTTGTTATGAAGTGTTTGCCTGAGGCAACATCATGCAACCATAGCCCTAGTTTGAAATCAGGCAGAGAAATGAGGATTCATTTTGGCATATGGTAGTGTGACATATCAGATATCTAGATTTTTACTCTCTAAGAAGTAACATCCAGAGCCATAACAACTTTTTTTTGGCGTTTAGTTGATCTTGTGAGTAACACGACTTTGCCAGTGACAGCTGAGTCTGGAGGATGCGCGATGCAGTAAAAACACCTGCTCATATAAGTCTAAAATAAAGAAGAAAATCACAGTCTGTTTAGACATACCTGGCTTTCAGGCAGTTATTCAGGTGCCAGTGCAGTAAATGTATTTGTTGAAACAGCGAATACCATGTATCTGTTCATCTCTGTAAAATGACATCCTCTCCCTTTCTTTCCCTCCTCTTCCCCTTTCTCTCCTTACAGTTCTCTTTCTGACATCTTTGGTCCAGAGCCTGCCAGAAACCTTGAGTAAGTGATTCTTCAGTCATTGTTACTGCTTGAAACTGTACTTTAAACTGTGCTATCCATACATGTTTGTTCCAGGAGTTTCATCACATTTGCCTTATACACTCTGTTAGCCATTACAGAAACGACATAATTGCAGGTTTGTGTTCATGCATAGACTGGATGTCAACATACTGCTGCTGTCAGGATTGCTTTCCGCAGTGCAAGTTGATAAATACTATGCATATTAGATATCCCACATACAGCACCACATTACCCTTCCACTTAGATCTAGGCATTTGCGCCACTTGATGCCACTTGAAGCCAAGGCCTTATATTTCTCAGGTGTTGAGAATATTGTTGAATTCTGTGTTTTCTACGACAGGGTATAGCTGCATATCTACAGCAGTATTCTAATGCAGCTGTCTGCTCTGTATCTTCATCGACTAGCAATAGACATTCATTTAGACATTTATGTTTAAATGAAAATTAACTTTATATAAGACAGCTTTATCTGTAAATTACAAGCATGATGAGGTTGTTGGTTATAGTCTGGTTTTATTAATGCATTAGACTGAAGATAACTGCTGCTCTGCTGAAAGCATGCTGTCTCTGTTTTGCTCATAAGCACAATCGGTAGAATTTGGCTTGCCATACGTGCAAGCCTAGCACATCTATGTCCAATGGCCATGTCTGATCATTTTTCTCAAAATATGTTTTCATGTCATTAACTCCTTATAATAATCTAAACAACAAAAGAACCCATGAAATGGCACTAGTATTTTGTGAGACCGAAAGGGTGGGGACGCGTAAGCTTTCAGTCACTGCGCTACCAAAAATGCTTAACAGACTTTAAATCACGTTTTTTACTGTAGGCTGCATCGGGGATAATTTCACTTCATGATGCATTCTCCATTATTCAGGCAATAGTGTTAGAAGTTGCGGGCGACACCTTTGCAGTCCTGGGGTAAACTTAACTAAACTAAACAGCTGATTTTACAGCAAGTCTGACAAGTGGTATTCATGTCTTATCTGACCTGTTTTCAGTTTATTTCTCCCCACAAAAGGTATCTCTCAAATATATAACGCAACACTATCAGCTCTTTGTCCACAATGCAACACAGGCAAACAGGGAAGTAAAGGTCGACCTCTGTTGCACACTGCTAAAACATCTCTGGATGGAATTTGTAGTTTTGAATTTATGTTTCACACGCTCCAAAATGTTGAGTTTAAATAGACTGTATAAGACTAATAACACTGTAATTGTTTGTTTCATAGGCTGTATCGGACGAATTCAAGTTATTTACTGAACTAAATGTCCTGTAACAGACAGTTTGGGTCATACACATGTACTGTCTGTGAGCTTTGCACCGGAAAACACAAAAATGAATGCACTATCTACCCGCAAAGCTATCTGTGCTTTGCCTTGTGTCCTTTGGAAAATAGGGTTCTATATCTGTAGATATAATTTGTTCCCTGGATTGCATCCCTGGATTGACTATAGGTGGGTCTGTGGAAGTCTGAATTGATTGGATCCATATTATGAATATATCTTCCTGTGTGTTTTAGCTGTGACTTCTGTTCTTATCAGGTGAAAGGAATGTTCTGGTTATAAATTATTTAAAAAAAAAAAAACATTTCTTTTTAGTTTTACTGAATGGTCAAGTTTCCTTGGTTTTCCTTCAGCAAGTCTGGGAAACTCACTTGTTATCAGAGGCAACAAGATAAGCACTACTCATCGAGTTACTCTTGTCAACAATAGGGCTGTCAATATTGGCCAAAAATAATAAATGAATAATGAAATAATCCATTCACATATCTATTTTTGCACATTATGTCCATAAGAAAACAAACCCGTACAAGAAGAGGCATTACTACTTACAGCTGATCATTTGGGTGCATGTTTTTGAGATGTGGATTTTAGGTTGCTCGTGCTAGAATGCTAGAACGGTAGGTTAGACTAACTGTAGCTTACATAGCTACAACTTTTCATGAGGTTCCACAATTTTGCCGTCTACTATCCAAAATCCAAAGAATTTTCAAATGGGGCATTTTAGATCGCTTGGAATTTAAATAACTCTCTGTGGCAGAGTTGGGCCTCAAACTCTCTGCTATTGTTACCACACGGTCGTTGAATTGTTCGCTCTTCAGCTTGACCTACGGTTTATTTTCAATCAATGAAAGTGATGTTGTGTGACTGCTGTCCGTCATGTGGTGCATTCAGTGCAGCGGCCCAGGCCCACGTGAGAACACGCGTTTTTATTATATAATCAAATTTTGAATATTCGTTAACAGCCCTGGTCAACAAGTTGTCAGCAAATACGGACGGTTTTTCTTGTAGTGCCCCTGAGCACTTGCTGATTGTTTTGACGACATAACATCCCCAGAAAGGATGGATTTTATCCATTTAAACTGTTTGCCAGAGTTTGAGTTATGTCTGCAATAAATGTTATTGTCCATATTTTGAACCAATTAATGGTGTGACAACTGGGTTTAATAGTCATTACTATACATTCTGCATTTGTAAAGCTGTTCGCCTGTGCATAAGTGCTGTTTTATATGTCTTTTTTTTTTTTTCTCGATCATTTTGTCACTGAGCTGTGACTGCAATCATCTATGTCAAAAGATTCTAGCAATGCAATAAGATAGTCACACACAGCTTTTCCCCCCAGAGGAGTCACATTATAAATAACTACTCTGACCTGTAGCTCATTCACCTAGTAGCCCTGCACTGAGACATAGAATCATACCCTTCTGTTACACAGTGTGGTGCTGCTTTTACTGCACAGCGCTGCAACCTCGTCCCCTCTCCAAGGTTTCTGTTGCTGCCTTGTGCTGCTAAACTAGAACTCTTTAAATGATTAATTATAAAACCAGTGTAGATGATGTTTCTGGTTAAGACATGTCTCCTTGGATGAACAATGCTGATACAAATTCAATGAGAATATATCTTAGTGCGAGAGTATTTAATCTTAATATATGTATCGCAGTAAAACCATGCCAGTTGGCAATACATTGTATTTTAAATCAAAACTTAATGCTTACCTGCACACACGTGTGTGTGTCTCAAGGACATTTCACATGCAGAAAGCTTCACTGTCACAATGTTGATAAAGCAACAAAAGCACGTACGTCTGAATGTGATTCCACTGCGTTTGTTGTGGATAATCTGGACTCTGCTTTTCATCTTTCTGACCGACTCTGAGTTTAAGTTCTAAACTACAGCACTTAACTGTATATAGTCACAGTACACCAGTAGTTGGACCTGGGAATGCGTCATCATTTCAATGGGCGGAAGCCAAATCTGTGTTTGTAATAAGTGTGAAAGGAAATTTTCTTTCCATCAGGCTAGGCTTTATCTCCATCCTCCAGCCTTTGTCAGATGCTGGCAAAGATGACAACTGTTGATTGTTTTAGTCCCAATCCACACTTTGTGCAGAGGCCAACTGCCTGTTTACCAGTAATCCACTTTACTCACACATTTCCCCATCCTTCTACTACCCACACGTGGACTTCTGACCCACATTCCAGTGCTGGAATTTTGTTTTTCCAGTCCATAGGGTCAAGATAAAGAGACATGGGACTTTGTCACTGGCTGGAGGGTGATATACATCTGTGGGACAATCAGATGAAGAGAGCCCTTCATGGAAGCTGTAAGTGGTTCCAGACCTTGTGGTTTTAGGGCTCCCCTTTGGTTTCCCAGCCATTTTATCTGAACTTTTCTTATGGAGGAGATCTCAGTGTCCATCAGTTTGTGTCAGAGGTGCTTCAGTAATGAGGCTGTAACTTAACACTACATGCTGAGCTGTGGAGCCCAACAGGGATCTCCTGGTAGCAAAGAACACTGGTTTGGTCATAGATAATCCATAAGGGAAAAACGGCTCAGAGCACTCTGTCCAGATGTGTTCCAGGGCTTCCTTCAGAATAAAAACAGGATATTGTAGTAGTGTATTTTCTTGCTATAGCAGCTGAATGTAAATATCAATACAAAAACAAATACCAATACTATAAGATGCATCATCTTCCAATGGTAGAATTAATGTTTAAAAAATAAAAATTTGACAAACGCTTGAAAAATGTTAGCATTGATATTTCCTTAACACTTTTTTTTTAACTGCCATAAAGAGCAACAATCTGGCAGATGGATTTTGGCACTTGTTCATATTTTACATGTTCTTGCTGCCAAAGTCTTGACTGAGTCTGTGATGTGATAGAAGTAAAACTGAACTTCACAACAGTAAACGACAGCCCATACTGTCTGTCACGGCTTCCAGAATCTGTGGCTTCATATTTTTCTTTTTTCCTTTTTTTTCTTCCTGCTCTCCCGTTCATAGCAGATTTGCAAGTAACGGTGCCTATTTTTTGTCAATATATCTGCGGAGGTGATTGTCCTGTTTTTGAATGAATTGTCAGTGGACAAAATCAATTCTGTTTACATTTCGTGTGAGCACCTGCAGTACATTGTGACTGCTCGATTGATCCATAGAGAGGCTGTGCAGAAAGACTGTCATGATGTGTGTTAACACAACAAAAGGGTTGCCATGGTAGTCACTGTTGCACAGTTTTGCAGAGTCTTATCACGTGACCAGAGGAGAGTTGGCTGACAAGACAACGATTTGGTGTCAAAGCAAAAAGCAAAAGCACCTACTTGGCAATATTTTGGATTTAAACCCAAAGACAAAAGGGAACCTGAACACTAATGAGGTAATCTGCAAACTCTGTCCTATGATTCCACACTCGCTACCCAATGTACAGGATTTACAATAAACAGCACCATATACAGCGCCTGCTCAGCTCATGTTGGCCTAAAGTTGACGTTATGCTTTTACAAGGAAGAATGACTTAATGTTCTGGTAACAAATCTGTCTTTTCAGCCACGGTCCCAAAATGGAAACATTTTGTGTGTCATGTGGCTGGATGGACAGGTACAAGTGTAAGAGCTTTCTGTGAGCATACACATTTATTTTTTTTCGTTTTGACCTGACACACAGAGTAATATCTAAGTGATTTTTGCTGGTGTGAGCAACCACTTAGTCCCCTGTAATGTATTTCCTGGAAGGCTGTCAAACTGACTGCTGCTGAAGTTAGAGTCAGAATGATGTTTCTATCACTTCAACAGCATGATAATCAAGTGTGAATGTGCCTAGGCTACACACCTCCCTCCCTTTCCCATTAGCTGAATACAATCTGCAAAATGTATAGTATATCCTTTGCATTAATTGGTCAAATTAATTAATTGACTGTATGAACTATTGGTTACATAGAGACAACTGCAGGCGAATAGGAGGTCCTTTAATCTACAGAAATGGTAATGGTTAAATGAAGTACTGGCAGAAAATCCTTAATCGTAGAAGTGATGAAATTATAAGGCCCCCCCCCCCGACATGGATGTGAGTTTTCTCAGCATCCATGTCAGTTGGTGGATGGCCTGAGGAAAGAAGCCAAGTTTAAGAAGAACTTGTTTTCACCTTTACTACTGTAGGTTGATATAAGCTAATGCATGGTGTTTATGGCTTTGGGACAGTCCCTCCGAGGCTCATAGCGGATGCTCCTTCCATGACTGAACATCATGATCAGTAGGTAATTCAATGCTCTAAGCTTTTTTGGTTTTAATATATTGTTTGCAGAAGCCACGCCACCTGGTGCGCAGGAAATGTGTATAATTAGTGCACAGCAGTAAAAGAGAGAGAAGTTTACGTGTCTCACCATGAAATATCACACCTGCTCAGATTGGCTTTTGATTTAAAATAGTGGCATTGTAATAGTCTGGTACCTCAATCACTGCTTGCTTTACCTTTCTTGTTAAACATATTTACTCAAGCAAAATGTTCATGACATCGTTGTTTATAAGAAATGTGGGATCTCTCTGTTCTCCATTTAGAGAAAACTAAAAGGTTAATCTCTGAAAACGTTCTTTCACAGAGACACAGAGAGGACCTCAGTCCAAAAGCGAACGCCCAGCTCCAGAGGAGACGATGCAGCTTCGTCGCACGTTCCAGGAAAACGAAAGCGTAAAAAGTAAGGAGAGATGGAAGACAGAGAACGCAAGAGAGAGAGCGAGAGAGAGAGAGAGAGAGAAAGATCTCTCACAGACACTGAACTTTTGACTGACTTTTAAGTTTATCAAGGAATGATTTTTTTTTTTTTTTTTTTCTCTACACATCCCTCTCTGGCATTTATTTTCTGAAGTTGCACAGTTAACTTCTTGACTCATGGTGTGAATAAATGTTGAGTATTTTAACATATTTTGTTGTCCTGTGATCCATTTCATCAGCTGACTTCAGGAGTGAGAGACTATGAAATCAATATTTCATTTTCTTCAGCATTGATTAGTATAGTAACGATTTTGTTTGTTTGATTTGATTCGATTGATTTTTGTGTTTTTAAAAAAAAAAAAAAAAAAAAAATCAAAAAAAAAAATCAAAAGCAATTTTGTTTAAAGGAAGACACAGGCAGATGTAAACATAATACGGGTTACATAATAGATCTATCATCCAGCATTGGCTGCCTGTGTAGTCACAACTGGATGTTGAAATCTGTACACAGTGTACAGAGAGTTTCTGCGGTATAACCGTTGAATTAGCAGTTGTATAAACGATCCCCAAAAATGCGTAAATATGCACTTTTTTTTCCCACCAAATCACTGGATGTCTGTCTGTGTTTGCTAACCTATCACCTCCATCTTCAAGAACTTCCCTCATATTTGGGCTGTTGTTTGGCCGACTCAGATTAGGAGCCGGGGCACATGGGATTCCTCTGTCATTTGCAGTTTCAAAGCGTGCAACAACTCTGTAGTTTTCAAATTGGTTGTTTTCTCTGAAAGAAAAGTAACCGGGGTCAGTTTAATTCAATAAAGCCTGTCCTTGTGAAAACCCCAGGTCAAAACAAGCGAGAGTGTAAACACTTAGGAAGGGGAGTCGGTGTTTATCTATACGTGCATGGGAGAGCGAGCGGGAACACTTTTGGGAGCCGACCTTGATTGAAAACAGAGCTCGCCTGGAGTCAGAAACATGGTGCTTCTGACTCAGTTGACTCTCTTCCTCAGACGAAGCGGGGACACATCGCTGGACTCATATCAATATGGCATGCTCATCAATACCACGCACCTCTTGATCCCACTGCATCCTTACTTCTTTTCTATGCATTGATGCTCTTTGTTTAGTTTAGTTAGCCGAGATGCTACTCTTGCTTGAAACCACAGGAGGGGACTGAGTGTTTCCTGATGCCTGTCTCCGTTTGGGAGACAGTGAAACAGGCAGTGATATCACTGGTTCCATATACACACTGTCTCCAGCAGAGATCCACACAGACTTCAACCTTTCAGTAGGAATCACAGTCACCTTCTTTAGTCTGCGTCTGGGTTGTAATGTTGAAGAGGGTATTAGTTGTCTGTCCAACACAAGTTGAAACTGATTTTGAGCCTCATAAATCTCTGCTAATTGCATAACGCCCCCCTCCCTGGCCCCTAATATACATTAACTCATATTCTAAACGGCCTGTACAGCCACGGCAGCCTTTGGTAACATCACAACCGTTCCAAACCTGCTGAGAAAGGATGACCAGTCCGAATGTCATTGTATGGGATCAGTCTGATTCTTCCAAAAAAGCATTGTAGCAGACGCACAGGGGCACATCAGCCCTCAGGACTGAGTGTTCTGCATGAACTCCTCTGCCCCTGACTGCAGCTCTCATTAAGCTCAACCTCCAGGACAAAATGGCAGCAGTGTTAACAGCCCTCTTAGGCTTCAAATCTTTTTTCCACCCTAAAACGGTTAAAAGATTCTGCCAATTGGGTGACTAATTTCACTTGAACCAGGAATTACCTAGAGGCAAGTTTGAAGGAGTGCCCACCATAATAGGAAAATGCCTATATGTTAGTATCAGATTTCCTTCTGGGGAGACTTTTCCATTTGCTCACGGACTTTGAAAATTTGTTTCAGGATTCTAAGTAACATTCTAACTTGGTGAGAAACTCATTATTGTAGTCTGCTTCGTTTTCTGTAATTATCAAAACAATAAAATGAAAAATTATTGCGATATCAGTGGTTAGTAGTTTAGATTTTATACTTGGATTTATTTAGTTGCACAAAACAACATAACATAATAAATAAAAGATAATACACATATGTTGCACATCCATTTTATAATTTGTCTGTTTTGTCTTTATGAATTAGAATGAAAACAAGGTTTTTGAAATAGGTTTAAAAAACAAGTAAAGATGTCTCACCTCAAGCTAGACATTACTTTTCAATATACACCACTGGAACTTACTTTTTTACATCTGAAACAATTGCCATCTTTTTTTTTTTTTTTACCTCTCTTTTTCAGATGCCATTTGTTTTGGCTCAAAGCTTAAAACTTAACCTGCAAAATAACACCTGTCATAGCTGGAGACAAAACAATCTGTGAAATCCTTGGTGATTTGGAAATTGATTCAGTCCAGATACACATTTGATAGCTTGTCAGACTCTGACATGTGTATGTGTGCTGCAAACTGTCAAATGTCCTATATTTAATGTTCCATTTGCATTTTATTATGCAGTGCTACTTCTATTTTCTAACTCCAGCAGCAGAACTAGCGTGAGCACATACTCTGAAAGCATTTCTTTCAGCAACACTGATATAAAAATGTAAACATAATCATTTTGACAGGATTATTGTGTATGTTTGACTTGTGAAATATAGATAGATGAATATAAATAGATATTTTAACACGGAGAGCTAGAATTTGTTGAAATAGGAGCAACAGTTGTAAAAGCTGGGGGAAATATGTTATTAGTTTGGTTTATAGCCCTTAATTATAGTCTCAATGGGCCTCACAATGGCCACATTATGAGAGAGTAAATGAAAACCACTCTAGCCAAACACGGACCCTCAGTGGTGATAAAGAAAAACTCCCATGCAAAAATCATCAGGAAAAACAGAATGATAGAGGCTTCCTGGTTTAGAGTACAATACTCATTATGCAGAGAACATGCGAAGTTCAAGAATTCTTAACAAAACAGATCATGAGAAAAATACACAAACAAGAATGTTGAGCTTGAATTGTGGATCTTGGAATCAGCGGCTCAACTATAAAATACTCAACATAAGGTCCACTTACTTTGTGTCTCTGAAGCTTTCAACCGCACCTCGTGGCTGTATTCAGTAGATGGTGTTCTTCAACATAAACTAAAGCATCTCCTTGACGTCTCACTCAGTTACTGCTTCAGGAAAGCTCGGTTTTAAGCACGTGTGAAAAATAACTTTTATAAGTCTTGAGCTGAGTGTAGTAAATGTCTCGGAGATGTGTTGTTCTTAGTGTAGTTCTTATCCCATGGTTTGCCATTGTAGCAAGTCAAATAGCATGATACACAGACATAGATATACTGCTCTGGTTGTTCTTGGTCTTCTTGTTTTATTTCATGCATTTCTTGCTGTATTGTACTCTGATGGCGTACCTGTGTCCAGAGACCTTAGTGATGGTACTGGTAGGATATTTTTCGAGTATCTGTACTTTACTTGAGTATTATTTTTTCTGTAAACTTATGACTTTTACTCCACTACACTTAAAACACAAACATTGTACTTTTGACTGAAGTGAAGTGAAGTACTTGTTACTTTGAAACAGAGCTTTTAGTCAGAGGAATGAATTTTCATTCTTTTTTCTAAAAGTGTTATAGACCATACACTGTGTTGATCACAGGAGAAAAGCCAATCACAGTCAACTCCTATGCTGTTAGTCATGTTGTGCTGCTGCTTGTTTGAACAGCTCAGTTTGAACTTGACAGTGGCCTAACGATGGCTACTAGATAAAGATGAGGCAGAAGATTAAATAAAGATTCTTTTTGTTTTAAATGCTTGCAGTGTTCAACACAACCAAAATTCATCACTACCTGCAGAAATATGCCATCCAACTTCGGAAAGCATGTCGATGTATTAAATGCTTGATTGTTTCCAGATAAACAGCTTGTAGTTGGCTGTCTTTTTGTTGATTCAATTGTGTTTTTATGGCCATTTCTATCAGCTTTGTGTCAGATTCTACAAGCTTTCTACAAGCTTTTATCCTAGAGGCTTTACTTGCTTGTCAGTGCATTGGTTGTTTCATAGTCATTCGATTCTGTAAATACACTGTGGAACAATACAACAATGTGTTGACAGAACAAAAGTATTTTTAAGTATTTTTTTAAAAACAAACATTCCAGTACTTTAACTCTAGTAAAAATCTGACTGAACAACTTTCACTTGTATTGGAGTAATATTTGACCAGGAGTATGTATACTTGTCTCAAGTAATGGAGCTGTGTACTTTGTCCAGCTCTGGGTACTGGTGATTGAAATATTACCAAAACCAATAGGAATGATGACCTAAACTACAAAAAACAAGACCCGCTCTGAAAAATTAAAGGAATTTTCCCTTTAGAGATTTTAGTTCAGGTTGCTGATTACATCAGCAGCGCAGTATTACTTCTCAACTTGTGACACATCCAAACTTTTGTACTTTGAAGAAAGATCTAATCTGATCAAGATAAGGACCTGTGTGTTACTGTGGGTCTGTTTTCCTCCAGACTTCTTGAACTCAGCTTGCATAATGATTATGTCAGTTAAGTATGAAATATATTTTTATTTGTGTGGTTCAGATAAAGCAGTTGTTCCCAGTAACAGTTGTGTGATGTGATTGTTTTCTACCTCACACTCTAAAAGGAAATGATTAAGGCTTCAGCAAAATGTAATTAACTACCTGGTCGGATAAAACACCAGCAACACCGGCAAGTTCATAGACTCAAAGACACAATAGGAGACAAAGATAAGTTTATAGAGTTGAGCCAGACTTCATAATTAACTAAATTCCCTCAGACAGTGTGTGTCCATAATAAACACCAGCAGTCTTGTTATTTGAGAGAGTGAATCGATCTGTTTACATTCCTGTTTCTTCCTGTATTTTTTTGGACATCTTATTATGTTGGAAGGACCCACAGTACCTTTGCTATGCTGACTTTGGCCATTATCGAGCTGTCTGACTGTTCCCAGCCCCCGTGAGGAGCTCTCAGATCGGTGGAAGATTGGTTTTACCACTAAAGTGAATATGTAGGCCACTTTCAAGAGCATACCTGCTTTAGTTTTTGTTATTAACAACTTTGATAAATGTCCTTGATCAGTTGCGAAGGATGCAAAATAATGACAAGCCTTCAGAAGACTCCGGGGAGTGCTTCGTCTTTTGTTATCTTTTA